TTCATAAACCCTGGGATGTTTTTTTGATCACTAGCTGAATAAATCTAGATTAAGCCTTAACAAAAAGTCTTAACTAAGTTCTGAACAAATTTTATATTTAAAGCAGATTTCATCATATCAATTTCCTCTTTGTATTGCTTGCATTGAAGTCTGCATTGTTGTAAAGTCACTATAAGTCTACTAGGAGAAGTTTCAGAGATTGGCGCATTTAATTTAGCAGGAGTTTTAAGAGTAGATATTTTAGAGAGTACATTAGAATTTGCTTTAACATTAAGTTCATGACAAAATCTCAAAAGTCAACTGTGAAAAAACTCTGTTTCAGGTAACATCCATCCATACACACAATATATAATGTACTTGTTCATAAATATAATACATACATACATACATATATATATATATATTTATATATATATATATATATATATATATACATATATATATATATATATATATATATATATATATATATATATATATATATATATATATATATATATATATATATATATATATATATATATATATTCCGAACATACCCCGAACATACCGTGGGGTAATCACAAACACTATAAACGAATAAAATGTTGATCAAAGCAAATTGATCAACAAATTGCAAATTGATCAAACTTGTTTAAAATATTATTGAATAAAGATTTAAACAAATCAAACATTAAAGAAACAAAGTTAAAATATCAACAAATTTTATTCAAACCAAATAAAATGTTACATGAATGAAATGTCAAATATCAATAAATGTTATTCATAAATTGTTATATCCATTAATTAAGTGCAAAAATCACAGAGAAAACCTCTGGATACGCTTGCACAACTTGTGCACTTCTTGTGAGACTACGACATTTGTAACAGATAATCCAGTCTTCCATGATTGGATCATGATACTTTTGAATGAATACATGAAATGAATCCACTGAACATGTTGAAACTTTTAAGTCTTTTTTGGCTTTTTTATTTGCATAATTAAAATGTATATATATATATATATATATATATATATATATATATATATATATATATATATATATATATATATATATATATATATATATAACTTTAGTGTTGACATCGTGTATAAGAGTGTATGTATATTTAGTTTTGTTTTTTGATGTTAAAAGTGTTCTTAAATTAGGATTTGATTTGAAGACTACTTTATAGCCAACATTCCGAAATATTTTCCTTAATTTTGGGGATAGTGATGGTATCCACGGTAATGATACAGTAGGGAGATCAAGAGGACCTGATTGAATTTTGTTGCTTTTTATGGACCGTTTATTTCCGATTAAGTTTGCAATGCGTGTAAGTTGACATATGTTGTATCCATTCTCTTTAAATACGTGAATTAGGAAATTAATTTCATCTTCTAAATATAAATCACTGCATATAGAGTAAGCTCTGTGAACATAACCTTTAAATAATGCGTTTAGAATTTTGGGGTCATAATTTGAGTGAGGTTTAATTTGAATATTTGTAATGGCGTCCTTTCTGTAAACTTTAAACTCATATTTACCTTTAGTGTTATTTACTATGGTTAAATCGAGGAAGTTTAGAGTTCTATTTTCACTTTCAATTTCGATTATATATTGTATTGCAGGGTGTTGTTTGTTCAAGATAATTAGGAATTGTTCTGCTTCTTGAGCGTTAGAAAATCTAGCATGACTATCGTCAACATATCGAAGATAGGATTTTAGGTCAAGAGGAGGATTTACTGCCATTGCAATTTTAAAAACGTTTTCTTCATGATGTTGTAAAAAAGATTCTGCTAGTACAACTATGAATGAAAGACCTATAGGACCAGAATTCTCCAATTCATGGATCTCATTGTTCCACAAGAAATAACATCGGTGTAAACAAAGTTCTATAAGTTGTCTTGTTTCGGATATGGTAAGCTTGGTGGAATGTTTGTAGGAATTATCTTTATTTAATTGGTCTATAAGAATTTAAAAAGAACTTAATAAGAACTTTAATTCCTAATTTAATCCTAATTTAAGAACACTTTTAACATCAAAAAACAAAACTAAATTGCCACAAAATAGTCAACCCGGAACTTATCTAATTGAATGTGACTGCTCAAAGAGATACGTAGGCAAAACCAAACTTCAAATTAGGACTCGAATTCAACAACATCAAAAAAGTTTAAACGAGGGGAAACATCAGTCGACAATAGCCACCCATAATAAGTTTTGCTCACAAGAAATAAAGTGGGAGGATGTTAAAACAATTAAAGTGGAAACAAAAAAGTTTGATCGAAAAGTGCGCAAAGCTCTTGAAATTCTAATAATAAATTATCTAATAATAAATTTCTAATAATAAATTATCATTTGTATTAAGAGAATTCGTATTATTTGATGTTTTCTTATTAATATATATATATATATATATATATATATATATATATATATATATATATATATATATATATATATATATATATATATATATATATATATATATATATATGATATAGTAAAAAAAACTTATCTATTTATTATAACAATAATAATATTAAAACAATAAGCACTCGCAATTACCCCACTAAGATTGTTCGTTATTTCCCCGCGATTCAACCAAATGAAACTAAACGAATATATTGAGGTAGTATTATCATACCCTAAATATAATACATGTTACCAACTCTATGATAATGATACTTTTTAACAACATAAATAAGTGTGTGGTTTTATATACATAGTATAGCCAATACATAGATGTTTTGCAAATTAAAATTACATGTAAATATAAGAAAAACGTGAACAACCTGCGCATCTATACTACACTACTGCACATCTGGAACTGAGCTGCTGCTGCGCAGAGAAACAAGTTGATATATACATATATATCAATATTATATATATATATATATATATATATATATATATATATATATATATATATATATATATATATGCAGCACTCCCTTGCAGTCAGGCTATTTGTCAGTCGATGTAGCAGCATTCCCTTGCGAGTCAGGCTATTTGTCAGCCGATGTAGCAGCACTCCGTTGCGAGTCAGGCTATTTGTCAGTCGATGTAGCAGCACTCCGTTGTGAGTCAGGCTATTTGTCAGTCGATGTAGCAGCACTCCGTTGCGAGTCAGGCTATAAGATAGTCGATGTAGCAACATTTACGCATGTTTTAAAAATGTTTTTTATTAAATCAATAACAAAAACAACACTAATTAAAAAAAACTTTCTAGTCGTTATAATTGCGGTTTTTTAAAAATTTTTTAAAAAACAATTAAATTTAATGTACTTCCGCATAAATTAATTGCTTTGACATTTCGATGACAATCAAAAACAGCTTAAGAGACGAGGTAATTAAAATTGTAGTCGTAAGAGACTTTTTTTACATTAAAACGCTCTTTCGACTACACTATATGGGTATATATATATATATATATATATATATATATATATATATATATATATATATATATATATATATATATATATATATATATATATATATAAGTATATATATATATATATAAATACATATATATGTATATATATATATATATATATATATATATATATATATATATATATTATATATATATATATATATAAATATATATATATATATATATAAATACACATATATATATATATATATATATATATATATATATATATATATATATATATATATATATATATATATATATATATATATATATATTCAAATATTGTTTAGTCCCAAGATAATAAAGATGCATTTTATTGTCAGTACTTTTTGGAATGTCAGATTTCAAGAATTGTATTATATGGTTCTCACTGCTTTGCAGCAATAACAATGGAAAGCACTGTTACTTAGGAATTACCACAGAAGTAAATATGTTCCATGTTTCACTAACAGCTTGCGAGCACTTGTCCCTTATTCATACTTTAAATTCAGATCAAATGCATTCTTATATGGATTAAATTAAAATAGAGATCATAAAGGGGATCATTTTGAAAATACTACAATAACTGATAACCATGTGATAATGTTTATCTCATTAATTTTAAGCTTAACTTTTTAAGAATGTCATTGATTAAAATTATATTACGTTTCAAAGCATGACTTGAGCATAAGTCAAGTAAATTTTGGAAATCTTTGGTTATGGTTTACATGACCATATCATCAGCATATAGAAGATGGTATATATATATAATATCTAAGTATCTAAATTAATTTTAAATTGAAAGCATTATTTCAAAAAATTCTATTTTTTTATAGGCGATCAGTGATCTGGTAAGTAATCACTCACCCCTCTTCCTAACGGAAGAGGGGGGACAGCACCAAACTAAGTGGGGAGGGGGTAACCAACTTACAAAGATACATGCTTTTATTTTCTAACATAAAACATACATGATTCATTTTCTAATGAATATACAGTTAAGGCCATCAGATCTTATTGCATTTTTTCATGCTTTTACCATATGATTCAAATTTTGATAGTGACTAACATTGACTATGTGACTCAAGAATTGACTATGTGTGTCAAACGTATGCCAGATTTTCCAGCAAATATACAATGCTATGGTCTTAAAATGCCATTAACAAAAGCTAAATAGGAGAGGGCTTTCTTTTTATTAAGAAATGACTTATAGTTAGTTGCACCCCTTGCATAGGTCAGTAGGCAGATTAGAGTAACATATTTATTCTAATAACATATTTAACTGTTGATAATTAAAAAATAGGGTTATATTATATGCTGTTAATCTTAGATCAAAACAGTGTTGGAAATAATTTACAAGCATCTCGAAATGACTGAAAATTGGACTTTTTATAACTAAACAAATATTTAAATTTATAAACTGGCAAACAAAAAATCATCATAATAATAAAAAAAACTTAAGGTAACATTTAAAAAAAAGGAACTGATTTAACTGTAGAATTAGTCTAATAATTAATAAATTGTGTCTAGAAAGTTAAAATAGTTGCTATTGTTTATCACACTAGTTAGTTAAACTAAAAAATTTAAAATAGGATTTGTACCAGTCAATGCAAAACACTCTTCCTTCCAATATTTACATTCGTAAATACGAGTTCTAGTTATTTTTTCTATCAAATACTGAGGATTTGTCCCACGAATAGATTTTGCATCAGATATGGTCCTATTCGCCATGTTGGTTTGTTTTGAAGTTCCTTACAAACTATAAACTAGAATTCAATTAAGGCTCTTTTGAAGTATGGTATTAAGATTACAAAAGTTGGACCGCGTTGGACCAAATAAACAAATGCAATGAGTATCGGTGCTTAATAAACGGGAGGGGATCTAAATTAATTTTCGGAAATTTTTCCCACCCAACCCAAGCTTAATAAGACCTCCACATTCACCTTTAGGTGTTTTTGATCACGGTTTGATATCTCTAAAACTATTATCTTATTCATCTTCATCATCAGAATTCGCCTTTCATTGTACCTCTAATAATAACCTTAAAGTTGACGAAGACTCTTTCCGTGATATTCTTTTTTAAAGGTAGAAATCTTTTCGTGATTTTCCTCGCATTGTGCTGCTGCAATTTCCAATCGAAATCATTACTTCAAAATCTATCAGAAAAGCAATTCTCCAGAAAACAGACGTTTTTGCAACCTCCTCAAATTGAGGGGTGTTTAAACTTTATATGGTCATAATTTTTGTTTATATATATATATATATATATATATATATATATATATATATATATATATATATATATATATATATATATATATATATATATATATATATATATATATAAACAAAAATTATGACCATATAAAGTTTAAACACCCCTCAATTTGAGGAGGTTGCAAAAACGTCTGTTTTCTGGAGAATTGCTTTTCTGATAGATATTGAAGTAATGATTTCGATTGGAAATTGCAGCAGCACAATGCGAGGAAAATCACGAAAAGATTTCTACCTTTAAAAAAGAATATCACGGAAAGAGTCTTCGTCAACTTTAAGGTTATTATTAGAGGTACAATGAAAGGCGAATTCTGATGATGAAGATGAATAAGATAATAGTTTTAGAGATATCAAATATATATATATATATATATATATATATATATATATATATATATATATATATATATATATATATATATATATATATATATATATATATATATATATATATATATATATATATATATATATATATATATATATATATATATATATATATATATATATATATATATATATATATATATATATATATATATATATATATATATATATATATATATATATATATATACATATATATACACCGGCGCACCTGGGTTAAATAGTGCACGTGGCAAACACTGATATTGTGTCCGGCCCGTCTTTAGGTCATCCTGGCCCTCCAGCGAAATAACAGTTGTGTTCTCTCCAGACCTCCCCCCCGCCCTCCTTCCATCTTGGAAAAAAATAGTATTCGTTTTTCAAGTTGATTTTTTTATATGCTAATATATTGCTCATTAAAATTATTGCATTGTCCAAAAATGGACAAATAAATGCTAGCGCTGAAAGGCATTTAGGTAAATTTAAAAAAGTTCTTTAGCGTACGCTGTGATCACAACAGTATCAATATCTTAAAGTTGGTGATGTCTTCCAGCGGCAAAGTAACATTCTGTCTAAAGGCCAAATTTTTATGGAAGCAGAAGCCATCGGCGGCGGAATTCTAAAACATTATTTGAAGCAAAATATTCTGGCTTACGCCTCCAGTGGTTTTTGCCTCCTAAATAGCATACGCATTTGGAGTTTTTTTTAGAGGAAAAATGTTTTGGAGACTAACGTCAATAAGGAGGCGGAAGCCATTATTGGCTGCTTCTAGAAGAAATTCTGGATGCAAAATAATTTGGAGCTCAGAATCAACCATTTTGTTGCAGTACCTGGCACCGGGTATCTTAAAACCTTAACCTTTTACATTAAAAATAAACTATTTGTTTATATGGTACTTTAAATTGTGTCAAAATATTATTAACAGAATTCCTTCAAAAAATAAATTTCTTTATATAAGTTTAAGAGTGTCAAAAATAACCACAAAGCCCTGTTTACTCAATACAAATCTCACTTAAAATATTTTTAAAATTATATTTTGCAGAATAATCACAATATATATTGCAAAAAGCAAACTGATTTAAACGAATACTTGAATAGCTTCTTTTTATTGTGTAAGAGATTTTTTTCACAAGAGAATTGTTTGAATTTGATAGAATTAATTTTTAAATATTTTGATATTTTTGGCTTTAACGACGTCAGACAGCAAGTTATTCCAAATATTTATGCATAATATATACTAAATATACTAAACTAACAAATATTAACAACTTTAAGGCAGAAAAAAATATTTACGGACATCAAGTTTACACTCTAGTTTGCATTTGTTAAGATTCCCCCATTTATTTAGTAGGCGAATGTGTTAATTTATTTGTTATATTCTGAACAGCTTAGACCGTCATCAGGCCTTAAATAATGTTAATATAAAAGCCGTTTCAGCATAAACCATATTAAAAACGTAAGAAAGACAAACCGAAGATAACGTCAATAAAAGCAATTCTATTTTTTTAAATTTTCATTGAATGTAGTCTCTAACTGTTGCCGTTTCCCCTGTTTAAAACTGCAGCCAATTTTTTATTTTTAGAAATGTTTAATATTTTGACTCTCCCTTTTATCAAATTTTCCCAATTTATTAGATTTTATATTTATATTTCTGACCCTCTTTTTTATCAAGATTACCCGTTTATTGGCAGTTAAAAAGTATAAAATTATTCGTTTTATTTCGAATTGACCTGATTAGATTTTCATCAGAACTAAGATCCTTGTCCGTTTAGTATCTTACTCTATAAGATGTTCTCAGAAAAGAGGTTAACAAATAACTTTTATTACTTGTTGCGAATGACGTCTTCTGTAATTGATAATGGTTGAATAATAATATATTATGTAGTTGATATATATGCATATAATAACAGCATAAACATCGTCATTGTTCTATTAATTATCATTTAATATAAGTTTAAAATCTTACGCATTTATAATTGAATGTAGTTGTGAATATGACATGGTTTTTTAACGGCGTACTAAAATATTTTTGAAAATATTTATCAAATTCAAAATATTTACAACATATCAATTATTTCATTTGTAAAACAAAAAAAATAATAAGTATTTAGTCAACACTTTTAAACATTTAAAAGATTGTGGTTTGTTTCAACCTTATTACAAAAATCATTTTTGTGATCAGGTTATTTTGTTAATACTATTCAGTCAAGAGTAGCCATTTCAATTACTATTGTTAATAACTATTTAGTCAATAGCAGCCATTCAAGCAGCCGTGACGCAGTGGTTAGAGTTATTGCTCAGAACCAAGAGGTCCGATGTTCGAAGTCGGCTTTAGTCTATTTAGTGACATTGGTAAGGGAGGAGGTGTTAACCTCCTAGTAAAATGCTCTTTCGTGGTACTCTGCGATAAGATCGTGAAAAAAATAAATATTGTAGAGAAAATACAACGTAGCTGCAAAATACAATTTGAAGTGCGAAGTGAAAATCTCATGACAGTCAAATTTTATTAAGAGATTTTTACATATAACAAATTTTACATATAACAAAGATTTTTACATATAACAAATTAATATTAATTTGTTATATTAAATTCTTATTTACTTGTAAAAAAAAGTTATAAATAACTTTAAAAAGTTAAATTAAAGTTTTACTACCAGGTAAACTTGGTAGTAAAAATTTATTATTACTAAAAAACGTATTAGTAAAAGTTTCATGCAACACCAGAAATTAAATAAGTAAAAAAAAATAATTTTCAAATGTTAAAACTTTGTCAAAGTTTTTTTTATACGAAAAATTAAATATAAACGATATCAAAATAAATTAATTTTATTGATTCTTAACGAATATTAAAGGTTGTTGTATTTTTCAATCATTTTTACAATATCTAAAGATAAAAGTTCAAAATTTAACGTTACCGTCGTAAAATAAAAGTTTTAGTATGAAGGGGGACAAAATATCAAGTTTTGCTCGAGCAAATAATTGAATTGTTAGTTTATGAGCGCTTATAAACTAACAATTTAATTATTTGTTATAAACTTTTTTTCGAAATTATTTTTTCGCTTAAGGCATGTAAAATAAAATTTCCAATTTTCAACATTCGTTTTTAATATGAAACTTTTAATTTATTCAATAGTTTTTTTTCTGATTTTATTTGAATTTTACATTTACGTAGGTCAGTTAATGAAAGCAAAGCCCCAAGGCTCTTTGAGGGCTTTGCTTTCATATACTACCAGCTAATTTGGTCATTAAAGCCTGATTATTTACAGATAGTGATTTTTAATAACTATATATAAATTATACTCTCATTGATATACTATTTTGTTAACAATTTGTAAAAGTCGGATCTCATAATCAAGTGGTTCAATGTTGACGGTTCAAGTTCGATAGCTCAATGACTGTTCAGGATATATATGTTAGGAAGGCAGGATAAACTCTCTTATTAAATGCTCCGTAATGCGGAAGAGCATTTAAGCATTTAAGATGAATATCTTCATAAAGCACCTGGTTGGATGCCTAACCCTAACCTGGTCAAACATGGTTACGCATCCAAAGCGGTGCTTACAAAAAACATAGTTGCTTGGCTTTTTGTTTATTTTTAATTATCATTTTAAATTATTATTGCGAAGTAGTTCGTAAAATAAAATATATATAAAAAAAAAAACAAAAAAAAAAAACGCATCGATGAGGGTTATATGTTTTAAAAATATATTTTTAGCTGATTATTTAGTATTACGATGAAGACATACATACACTAATGTGGCTAGAAAAATTTTGTAAATTCTTATTCTTTATGTAATTTACGAAATTTACGTAATTTACGAAGTTTCAAAAAATGTTCCCTTATGAAAGCTTTAAAAATGTATTAAATTTCAATATATTATTATAGACGTGTGTTTTTTTTAAATGCTTATTAATGATAATTTTAAAAATGTTTTAAATTTCAATATATTTTTATAGACGTGTATTTAACATACACATATATACTAAATTTACGTTACAATTTTTATATTTAATGTAAATAAAAACAAATACTGCAAAAAACAAAAACAAAAAAAACTAGTTTTCACTTTTTTTTTTAAACTGGATTAAAAAATCAGGATTTAAAAAGACGCAGGTTAATACAAGATTATATACTATTAGGTATAAATTATACAAATATGATATGCTAGTTTTTATTGTATAATTAGCTTTTTTTCTTTTTCAAGAAAAAGTTAGAATTATAGTATAAGAATGCAGTAATGGGCGATTTAATAGTCAGTAATGGATGATTTGAGCAACTTTGCTCTTGATAAACCATGGAGTCCAGTTAGTTATTTTGAAGAAGAAGAAGAAATACTTGAGTCTGAAGGTTTTAATAAAACTTTTATTTGTTTATATATGTGCATTGTAAAAATATATGTATGTGTGTATATATAAATAAATATGAATGTGTGTGTGTGTGTGTGTGTGTGTGTGTGTGTGTGTGTGTGTGTGTGTGTGTATATATATATATATATATATATATATATATATATATATATATATATATATATTATATATATATATATATATATATTATAAAAGTTATTTTTTAGAAGTTTTTAAAGCAAATGTAAAAGCTTGTTAAATGTAAATTGTAATGACAGTTTGGTACATCAGAAGATCTATTTATATCCTGTCTTTGCGAATTTATTTAGCATCAGCTTTGAAAATTTCCTTTAATTTCAGCATTTATTTCTTGCCTTAGCCATAAATATTCCATTTAACCTGTAGCATAATCATACAAAAATGTATCATATGGGTAATTCCACATCAAATTACCCAGTCCATTAAACAACGTGTCTTTTTTATATTTTGACAGATTATTCTTAATTATAAAAAAATATTGCATGCAAAATTTCAGCTAAAAATGTTTAGCGGTTGACAAGATACTGCAATTTTAATATTGACCTGGTTTCCCAAAATGACCCGTTTTTCATAACATTCTTAAAAAAAAAAATTCTTAAAAAAATAAGAAATGAAAATGGTAAAAATATGAAAATAAACATATTTAATGTTTTTTTGATGCTGAATTCAATAAATGTACTTAAAATGCTGAAATATAAAAGGAACATGCTTTAAAGTTAATAAAACAACTAATTTTTGTAAACCAACTTTGGGGCCCAATATCTCAAAACACCCCTGTCAAATTTTTTTTTTTTGCTATTTATTTTTTCAGCTGCTTATAATCTTACTAGGTACAAAATATCTAACTGGAAAAACAACTGAAACATATGGAACTTTAATTTCAAAAATGTATTACTTTTTCAAGAAATTCCCAAAAATTATTTGTAAATAAAATTAAAATAAGTGAATCGTAATTTAAAAAGGCATTTAAATATACAAGATTTTTAAAGGTATTGAAGATGTAAGTTATTTTGACTGTGTTTGTAATAGTTCACAAAATTGTTCCCATTTTACTTGTACTTCTTCTATTTCAGCATTTTCAAACACATAGTTTCTACCGGAACTAGAGCAAGCTTGTGGAACAGATAGTTTTTTCAATATGTTGATGTTGGGAATAAAACAGTAGTCGTCTCTTTCAGGTCAGTTAAAACAGATTAATGGACCTTTTGTGTGAAGAAACTTAACTTTAGCATCAACTTCTTCTAGGTTGGTTTCAGTTACAATGCCAATCCACCGCTTATCATCATAGACTACAGCTACATAACTTCCTAAAGTGACAGTATCAAATTGAACTATATCTTGTTTCTTTTTAAGATTGTGGACTATTATATAATTAGTATCCATACTACAGCTCTTTGCTCAAGCCCTGTTATCTCCAAGATGTATAAATTGATGAAAGCTAGGAGTACCAGGTAGAGTTGTAACACCAGTGTACCTTTCTTTTTCCTCCTCACTTTGCAATTGTAAGTCCATTTCCTTTATGTAAATGAAGTTATCAACCTTGATTTTCTCAATACAAAATTCATACATAGCTTCTGATGCAAGAATTTGGTTTCTGTATGGTCGTTTTAAACATTCTTGCGCTGTTAACCTTTTTAAAGTACCACCAATCCCATCGCATGGTGACTTTCCGTGGGATGTGGCAAAAAAGTTACATTCAACTTTAAGGGCAAATTCGCTCTCTATTTGGCATAGATTATAAAAGCATTTACAATTTTGGTACTGTCCTGCGTAACTATCAGTGAGTAAATGTAATTTGGAAAATTTTGTTTTTAAGATTAGTATGATTAGTTTAAATATTTTGTACACATAAGTTACATCATGTGTAATGTCGTCTGATATAAAACAGTAAGAAATATGATTCAGTACACCTTTATCATTCTTATAGTATATCACTAATCAACCCTCGGAATTAGGAAAAATGAGGTCGGCAATAATTTGCCAACCTCAATTTTTTTTTAGGTCGGCATCAAGTCGGCAAAAATTATTTGATACAAAGGTCTGACCATAAAACATAGAAATGAGGTCAGCAATTTTTTGCCGACTTTAAATACTTTCAGATCAGCAGTTAGGTCGGCATTGCCGAATCCTGACCCTAATTCGTAGGGTTGACTAATGGATGTAAGAACATTGTTGGGTGATTCAATTATTGCTTTGTACTTCATATTGGACTACAAAAGTATAATTTTCAGCAAAGTCGCCAATAATTATAATGTTTGATTGATCCATATTTTGTTTTAGTTGGTTAAAGTACTGTGATTAAGAGTGAGCAATAAAAGAATGAGCTTGTAGCTTTTCAAAGCAAGATACTAATAGTTCAACAAACGTTGGAACATCTGCTGTTAAACTCAATAGTGTTGCACAATCAGTAGTTTGTCATTGCTTGTAGTGTCTCAAAATCATCTCAAAATCATCTTCGTATTCTCCAAAAATCTCATATAAATATTTGGTGAGGGTTTTTTTACCAGGACAATTATCACACTGTGCAAGCATGCATTCTTTGTTTTTTACTGAGCAAACAGATTTTGAAAGTAAATCCTTATACTTTAGTCCAATATTTAAGGCATCTACTAGCAATATGGCATTTTAGTGATAAGAACAAACACAGAGTGTGTACCACTTGCACCTGGCAAAATGCACCACTTTGGTCTAATTGAAGCAAATTTTTAGTAACTTAGTTGTATTTCTGGATTGTTTTCTTTGTATAATACATATAGTTCCTTTAAATTACACAAAATCAGTTTTTTTTGTTTATGGACGTTCTTTTGAATACTTACAATCTTTTTTTCCAGGCATAGTTCTACATAAATCACTTGAGTCTTAAAACAATTTCACAGAATCTTCTATGTCTTTGTGTAAGACTTTACCTTTATACAACGGAGAGATAGCTAACAATCCTTTTTTATTCAAAATTTGTCTAGCCATCTTTGCTTTGTATTCTGTAATTGCAAAGTTATTTTGTAATTCTAATATCGACCAACTTGGGGGTGCCAGTGTTAGAAGTTGAACAATAATCCTTTTATCAGAACATAGAATTTTTTTTTTTTCAAGCTCATAATTTCATCAAAGTTTTCAGCCTTCTTTTTTATGTTATTTGTTTTATAACACAGTTTTGAGGAAACATTGACTTGACTGTCAGTTTTCCTAGTAACGTTATTATGTTAGAAACGTTTCAATGATGCGCGCAACTTTTCGCTTTCCTTCTGAGAGTATATGTTTTGATGACTTTTAATAAGATTTTAGAGGGGATATGTTAAAATTTTTAAGTTCTTCATTGATCTCTTTTTGATTTTAATGATAATATTAAAAAATCCTCATCTTGTTCACCCTGACTTTGCTTCTCTTCTTTAAAATCTTCTTTTCTGGCAATCTTTTGCTTACAAGGTTTGCAAAGTTTCTTCCCAGGAGCAATATTCAAACTACTTCTCATCATGACTTGTGACTCATTTATTGTAACTACTATGAGATTTTCTAAAAGTAATTGACATCTACTTACTTGTGATTTTCTTTGTATGTTTATTGAATGGATCAGAACATACTTTCTTCCGTATAGGATAGATTTTCAAATATTTTGTAGTATGTTTTTCACATAATATCGTTGAGTTTGATAGCTCAATATTACAGCGTAATGATATAGTTATTTTTTCTTCATTGCTTAAAGTTTCAATAACATTTTGTTAGCCTTTGCATTGATCTGATGTCATTAAGCCAATAGAACACATCTTATAATAAATAACTTAGTATGAATGTTTTTTCTAAAAAAAAAAGAGAGTTCTTCTTTTGTACTTAATTTTAAGTTGAAAAAAAAAAAAAATTAATATATAACCTTTTCAGAATCCTTCTGTTGTATAATTTTTTACACTGACAGTTGTTAATTTTCTTTATATATATATATATATATATATATATATATATATATATATATATATATATATATATATATATATATATATATATATATATATATATATATATATATATATATATATATATATATATATATATATATATATAAATATCTAAAAAGAAAATTAACAACTGTCAGTGTAAAAAATTATACAACAGAAGGATTCTGAAAAGGTTATATATTAATTTTTTTTTTTCAACTTAAAATTAAGTACAAAAGATATATATATATACAAAAGATATATATATATATATATATATATACGTAATTGTATATATATGAATAAAGAAAAAGATCTTTATATTATCATGTATAATATTGTATACTTAAAAGAGTGTTATAGCTATATAGTGTATATGTTACCCGCAGTAGCAGGATCTAACTAAATGCTAATGTTTGTAATATAGTTTATATATTATATATTAGTATATTTTTTCATTATTCCTAAAAACTGCTGCTTTGCAAATACTGATTTTTTACTTTTAAAAATAGTGATTTTTTACTTTTAAAAATAGTGATTTTTTACTTTTAAAAAGTTATTAACAAACAAAAAATATAACTTATTGCAAAGAAAAAAACTCAAATTAATTACTTTAGGGGTCGTCCATAAAGTATGTCATGCTATATTTTTTTATTTTTAACCCCCTCCCCCCTCCTCTAAAACAAATCTTTACGGAATTTTGCAAAGTATTCACATTTAAATCTTTTATTTACATCTATATGTCAACCAAAATAATAATGCATAAACAAAAAAAAAGCAATAAAATAAATAATTTTAATACACATAAAAAAATTTTTTTTTTTAAATTCTCCTTATATAAAAAGTATTAGTTAAAACCTTGTCAAACCAACGGGAAGAAATAATAATTACTTAATGATGTAATTCATTTTGTAAACAAAAACTTAATGAAGAAGCGCCAGAATTTTATTAAATTTTATTAAATTTAAAAAATTTATTAAAACAAATTTAAAAAAAATATATAAAATATATATATATATTTATATATTATTTTTAT